GATGCAAACTCCTTCCCGAGAGCGCATTCGCGATTTCGCTCACAATATGTGTCACCTGTCCGATTTACTCGGGATTTTAATGCGAGGAGGAAAATAATTTCTTGGCAAATTTTACGCTGTCGCAGCAGCAACCATTTGTCAGTTGCCACACAGCAGAACACTTTTATGTCACAAACGGTTCAGTGAAATTTTTCTGTTACATTAACATGAGGAATACGTGAAAAAAAGCACACAAATATGTTAAATTAATATATTCACTGTTTGTTATAACATATTATTTTTGGACAAATCCACCTTGTTAAAGTAACACAACCATTCGGGTGGAATTACGAATAATTCGCTAATTCGGTGATGCCAGCTAAATTTTATCACTGTCGCAATAAATATCGCAGTAACAACGATGTGATTTTGTTACAACGGCAAAATTATTTTTTTCCGTCAACGAATACGCTCACTTTCTCACGACGAAAAGGAAAAACTACGGCTCTTCTTTCCCTTCCCAATTTCTAAAACGTCTTCGCGATATTTCTTAGATCTTATTCGGTATCCGAACGAACATTCATTTTCAGACGGACGAAAGGTGACGGGAAAGTGTACGGTGGTGAGTTGTTACTCGGCTGACTTCTCGCCAGTGTTATATTTGCGGCATAAATGCAGGGGAGATAATGCTCGCGTTATCGTCTTTATGCGGTATGCTTATCCAGTTCGTATGTCGGATAGATATGAAAATCGGTGTGTGATAAATGGCAGTATTTACTCAACGTTTAATCGCACATATACACGTACGTACACATGCGTGCACGCCTACACTAGTTTTTTGCTGATTTTGTGCCGCACGTGCCTCGCTAGATCTGTTTATTCTGATCAATGAAGAAATTCGAAGCTCGAAAGAGGGCGAGATAAAAAGAGAGAGAGAGAGAGAGAGAGAGAGAGGTGCGTAATTCGCGTATATCGGGATAGGATGAAGTGATTTCTAAGTAATATGTTAATCTTAATGCGTGCAAAAGCCTGGAGCACATGTGGTACACGTGGAAAAAGTATTGTAAAAATTAACATAAAAAATTACCAATTTTGCAATGCCGGACCATGCTGGAATTATGACTGAAATTATTACGCATGTTTTAATCTTTAATGACGTGTACACGTGAAATACGTCTATTAAAGATTCTAGATCCACTAAAGAAGAAAGACGCATCACAATTTCAGCCATAATTCCAGTACGGTCGAGTGTTACAAAATTGTGTGATGATTTTCGTCTTACAATATTTCCCCCGTGTAACAAGAGTAACAAATCCGAAAGAGACCGTATCGTGATCTCGAACGGAGAAGTAACCGATTAAGCCGTCATTGATTAATAAACGCGATCGGAGAATGTCGTTTACGTTACAGAGTAATTATACGATAAATTATCCGATGGCTATAGATAGACTCGGGCATCGTAATTGCATCGGGAGATACACGACGATAGCCGCGGCGCTGAGAAATTCGGGAAGAAGCGACCGTAGGACCCCGTCAGTCAGTCCAAATGACCACGAAGATCATTATGGAAAGGAGGCTCGCGCGCGGTAAAGTGGCGGTCCAAGCAGCCAATTAACTCGACCAATTCCAACCAAATTCTACATGTCCGTCGCATGCAATAAAGATTGTTCGGGCGATCGGAACGCTCTCAACTTTACGCGTTGCGCCGAACGGTACATCCAGACTAAGTTTGAGATACACACGCGTACGTGTGTATATGTGTGCGTGTCTTGTGACATTTAATCGTATCCTTCAATCGCATACCTGCTACGTCCGAGCCGTCGGTCCGCCGACGAGCCTTGCGCGAGCGTCGTCGCGAAATTGCATTATTCTTGTTTATTCAGCGGCGACGATAAAGAAGTGAATATCTAGTTCCACATGCCGCTCGTGTCGGGCCGTTATCACTTCCACTGATAAATCCTTCCGAATTTTATCGACGTCGCAGTAGCTCTCCGAGAGCCTCCATTCACGATACACACGCGGCGCGTGCTCTTGTTTTGCGCGCGCGTCACTCGTAATCAACGCGCACTTACTTCCACGCGAAATGAAAGGGGAGAAAAAAAGAAGAAGAACAAATCCCGGGCACAGACCGGTGCGCGTCGGAGTAAGCTCCCTCCTCACCTCAGGCCCCGACTTTCGTGTATATCGCGCGCTTTCCTTGCGATCGTATATGCCGTTGCGTGAATTTTCTCCCCGCAATTGGCAATGCTCGTGAAATCGATCGGTCGATCGGGATATCGCATCGTCGGATCCGCGCGATCGGCATTTCAGAAGGAGCGCGTTGCACCACGGCTCGGTGCGAACTGCGGTTTCGCGCGGACGGGCCGCAAGAGTGCCGCCGCTGCACTCTCGCTGCGTCGGTGGGGAAGGCGCACACGGGAATTCGCGTGTGTCGGTGTGTGCACATGCACATAGGCTGCACTTGGCCGTCTCTCGCGCCTCGCCTCGCGCCGACCGAGATTCGCGTGCACACCACCGACCGACTGACTGCGCGCGCGATTCGGCGGGGGTAGGGATCGGCCGATCACCCTACTGTCTGCCCCCTGCACTTCGCAGTATGCAGCCGCGAACTTGTACTACTTGCGGCCGAGTGGTGCAGCGCGCAAGTAGATGCAGCGCGCTCGTGGTCAGGCGCCGCGCCCAAAGCGCGAATCCGCGCGAGGCTTCGGATCGGTTTTCGAGATCTACAACGACTATTGCGACATTGGCAATTAACAGTCTCAATCGCCTTCCCCTTCAGTCTCTTATTGCCGTTCTGTTATTTCTGCTAATTGCAGTGGTTAAAAAGATATATATTTTTTTTTCATTACTGTGAACAGACAAGGCGTTCGTTGTGGATTTTTGAATGCTGAAAGTAACGCAAATTTCGTCGGCACGCCCGGTTTTCAAAATAACTGAGGTTTTGTGAGGTTGTGTGAAAAAATGGCTCCCCGGTGATGTTTCAAATTTTTCTTGCAAGATAGATTAATGTTACTTTGAAATTCTAATCAGAAATCATGAATGTGTCGTTTAACTACTGTAAAATGTTTTTTTTTTTTTTCATTTAAATATCTTACCTTTCGACTGTATTGTTAGGAATTTAAATACAGAGTTTGGCTAAGATGACAAATTTTCCGCATATGATGATAAAGTCATATATATTTATAATTTGTACTTTGTGGCCATCGATACACACATACAAGGTGATTTATCATCATGTTAAACATTTCGCTAAATATATATATATGTATGTACATAAGAATCCGGAAAATCTGAATGCAGCGCTAATATGCAAGTAAAATAAGTTAAACTGAATTGAACTGAACTGAATAGAAAAATCATGCACCATTAGGCAAAATTTGCAATTTAATGTAGAATTAATTAATCCGTACGAGCAAATATGTGCACGGGAAGCGATAGGTCGGACTCCGTAGCCGTGTGCAAACAAAGAAAACTAGTTCCTAGCTTTACTTATTCATAACATGGCGGAAAAGTAAGAAATTCAAATTAAAAAAAACGCATTTTACACCGGGAACGAATAGTATACTCATGACTTATGATTAGAATTTCAACATAATGCGTTAACTTTTCTTACAAAAAATTCAAATATCGCGAAAAAGTCATTTTTGCACATAAAACGTAAATTATTTTGAAAATCTAATATGCCAGTGAAATTTTGTTTACGGTATCCGTTTTCAGCATCCAAAAATCTATAAGAAACACCTTATCTGATTCGAAGTAATTTTCGGTTATAAACTCGTTATTTATGAATCCATGAAATGATGAATTTCTCATCCCGAGTGTTCTCCACGCGCGGATCATTGCGACACGTGGGAATTTGCAAAATGGCATTTAAATTTATGGATTTTTACTCCAGATGCCGCTAGAAAGGAATGAATCCTCTCATTCAATAATTACCGCGCGATCGCTTAAAAAAGGAAAATAAGTTAGGGACGTCTGCTGACGTTAGAAGGATAAGCTCGCGGGATTCGTCGGAACGGGCTGTGTGTCGCAAGAACTCGTTCGCGGCGTTTGGCGTGAGACTCGCGTGACATTTAAATTAGGAAATTATCGGATATCGAATTAATTTGCTCGACGATATTTTTTTGTCCTTTGAATGAACGATCGTTAGTCGTTCATTTGCCCGGTGTTCGAGTCATTGCAGCAGGTTGAGTCGGGATATTCTATCGAGCGGATAACAACGTCCAATGCTCGACGCTAATATTCTCAAGTGCCGCGAACAGTGTCGAAAAAGTGAAAGTCCAAGGAGTACACGACGATGCGCGCGAAAAGATACGAGGTTCTCCCTTTCCCTCTCTTTCTCCTTTCCTTCACCTATCGCTCCAGTATTCTCTCTCGTCGTTTGATTCGATTTGATATAATAATAAATGACATGTGTGTGATGGCACCTCGAGCTATGCCATCGCGCGCCTACATTTACGCGTTCAATAGATGACGCGCTTCTCTTTGTGCGTTCCAATTGCCAAGCATCGACCCTCTGCCTGCATAAGTGAGACCGAGGAGTCAAGGCCTCCGAGTAGTCAACCGAATTCTAACTGGAGTTTACGATTAGAGGCGCGTTTACTGTCTCTAACTTTTTTCTCCGAACCGGATTTCGTACCAAGATCATCCATGCGCGCGCGCATGCGCGCGATCTAAGATTAATTTTCTTACCCGGCAAAAAGTTATCGTGTTACAAACGGTCCGCTTACATTTTTATGTTACTTTAACGTGGAGTATAAAAAATACACAAATTATTAAAAAGTACGCAAATAGGTTAACATATTATTCACTTTGTTAGAATAGCACGAAACAAAATTTGAGAGTTTGCAAGACAATTTTTTTTACTACGTAGAATGATACATTTCTTGTTTAACAAAGAGAGAAAGAGAGGGGGGGGGGAGGAGGGAGTCGCATCAAAGAATGAACATTCTCAATTTCGCGGGATCGCGCGGAAATCGGCGCGTTAATAAATGAACGTTTGCACGTGTAAAGGAACTTACCCTCGCAGAACAGGGTGACATCGGTGAGACTCTCGTTTTTGAATAAGTTCAAGGATGCCGTTAATAGATTCGTGCCGAAACTGTTCCACTTGAGGCAGAACTGTTGCTGATCAGAGTCCATGATGCCACCCTTAGGTTCAACTCCGTGACCCTCGTTACCCCTCTCGCTGCCACCTTCCAGTGCGTATTTACCTTCTTGATCGCGCTCGTGCCCAACTGTTCGTCCAGCTACGCAAAAAGCAGTCACGATTATCGACCGATCTCTCTCAGTCCGCGACGACGGGAGTTCACGTCGTCCGTGGGGACGTCGTCGAAGGGCGGTCATCGGTCGTCGGCGGAGTCTTCCCGCGCGAACGAAAACGGGAGACCGCGTTCGATTAGAAGTTTACGAAATCGCCGGCGAGTTTCGGAAGGCGGTAAACACGCCGAAGGTGGGGGACGCGTTTCGCGCGTCGCTGCGTTATGTCACGCGCGACACGCGCAAAATGTCATAACGCTTCGCGTCGAACAGAGGCGAGCTTTTTTTTCTTCTCTCGCGCACAATTTTCTCTCTCGACTACTATTCTCGCCGCTAGATAATCCCGCGACGCCGTTTACGCTCGCCGGTAGTACTACACACGATGCGCTCCGTCAATGAACGACCCACTGAAGAATATCAGATCGCGCTTCCACGAGGCGGATTCCGAACTCGAACGCTGACTCTCGCGATACGTTTATCGTGACAGAAAAACTATCGGACGAGGAGTCGGAGTTTCGCGCGTCCAAGAGAGAGACGGGCTACTTCCCGTCCGAAATCGCGTACGGAAGATATCCAGTCCATCGCGTCAGCGGAGACGGCGATCGGCCGAGCGAGCGTCATGTCCGAAATTCCACCGCATTTCCGCAACGTGGCCGCGATAAAAGCGGGCCGAGAACGGTAGAGAGAGAGAGAAAGAGAGAGAGAAACGTACCGGTGCAGGGGCGTGTCAACGATTGCGGGAGCACGTAACCGCTGCTCATTCACGGACCTTACAAACAGCAACGAATCACGGCCACTAGCGAGGCCACCCCGAGATGCATCCGCTATCTGCGTGTGGCGCGCCGTGCATCAGGTGAACTCCGCCGCTACCTGAGAGCTACAATGAGCGAGCTCGGCACCGCGCGCACGTGTCCTCGCGGCGCATAATCCGCGTGTGTGCCGTCCACTGTGTTGTATCACCGACTGACTTGGTATCAACCGGGATCTCCGAACGTGCGGCGCGCGGGCGCGGACGTGAGAGAGTACTTTTTTTTGAGAACTCGGTCGTGCGCGCGCCTCGCCTGTGTGCGCGTACTCGTGCATGCGTGCGGTGCGTGCGCGTGTGAGAGAGTGTGCCGTGTGCGTGGGTCCGAAAACGCGCATCGGTCGTGCGAGCACTGGGTCGACTAACTGACTGACTGACTGACTGTCTGTATGCGTCCGCCGGCGAAAATCGAATCACCGGCTTGCATCGCGCATCGGCACATGAACGAATCGCGCGTGACTGTCGCCGCTCGATGCCGGGGCCCGTCCGTGCGGGCGCGGGAGGGTCCGCCGCCGCGCGGGAGCCGAAAAATCGCGGGCGCGAGCGAGGGGGGAGCGAGGGGGGTGGCCGAGAGGTGCCGGGAGGACGGACCGCCCGAGAGAGGTTGGCAGGGAGGGGCGACGAACATGAGGAACCGCCGCGGAAAGAGCGTGAATATGGGTCATCGGTGGCGATGCAAATGCGGTTAGACGAAACCGGCGGTGTGTGGGGGGCTTCTCTTTCTCTCTCCCTCTTTCTTCCTCAGTGTGTTTTCGGCACCCGCCGGTGGTAACGCGGAACCCCCGGAGGAAAGGGAACCGGGTGGGCGGCAGGGGTAGGGATCGCCGGCGGAACGATTGCTTAAGGTTACAAGTTTCGCCTCGCGGTCCTCTGTGTGTTCTCTCTCTCTCTCTCCCGTTCTTTTTCTTCTCTTTTTCTCCGAACTGGAGAACCTTCGCTCTCTTCTACTTACGCGCCACTCTAACGCGCTCTCTCTCTCTCCCTCCGTCTCCTTCGTCTCATTTTCGAATGTATCCTCCCCCCTAACGCTTCTAAGGTATCACGCGTCCCCACCGCGCGTTCTTCGTCCAACATGTGCCAGGGCCGCATCGCGAACGTGAAGCGCCATTCGCGGGTAGAAAGAGAAAGAAAGAGAAAATGTCGGAGCGAGCGAGCGGGCAACCTTGAAACGGCACGGTAAGCGCGCCGCGGATACCGGACGCGCATTCTTAGTCCGTCGAAATTCAACGTGTCCACCGTGGCGTGAAATTACCCGGCATTCCCGGCGAGGGTGGCCCGGTCACACTGATATATCAATATCATCGAGCGTTCGGCCGCGTCACGGGCTGATAATGAAAAATCGGCGGTAACCGGCGACGATCGATGCCCATCGCTAGGAACCTCCGAAGGCGGGCGAGAAGCGAAGGCGGAGGGGAATTTAGGCGTTGGAGGCGCCTCGCGAGTTGCGTGGCTCCGGAACCGCGAAAGGAGGGCGAGAGGTGACGCAAGGGGAGGAAGGAGGAGACGGTGGGAGACGTACGCATCGACGGGGTGGGGGTCGCGGTATCGCGTGGAGGCAAAACGCACGCGGTACAGTGGAAGGGGGATCCTAGAGGGAGGCTCAAGGTCGCCGCGGGGCCGCACACGCGCCTCACCACGCACACACGCACGGTATACACACAGTGTTGCACACAGGCGTGTGCAGAGTAGCGAGGAGGTTCGAGCGCACGCGCGCACTGCAACATAGCCTGTAGGTGTGTGCGTCTCGCGTGCGGTAATATGCGTGTACGCGGTCTCGCGCGCCCATGTCGGCGCTCTTATGGCGGCGCATTATGTCATCGCGCTCTCGCGTTCGTTGGAAAAATAGCGGCTCCTCGCTCGGAATATGCGGAAGGGCTGCTCGTATCGCGCTTCAGCGCCGCTTCGATTCGAAATCGCGCGAGAAACACCTCGCCGCGTATCTCTCGAGGTTCACGCGGAGAGACCGCTCGGGAAACATTTTTGCGAGAGCAATTTTTCAAGATCATTCTTTCACGTCGCGCCCGCTCCGCGAGCTTTCGCGTTCCTGAGTAAGTGGATATTGCAACGACGGCCGCGCTCGTAACAGTCGAAGCCACTGAGTGAGAGAGACCGCTTTGCGATTTCGCGGAAGAGGAGAAATTGGGCGACTCAGCGAAATGAAAAAAAAAGAGAGAGAGGAGAGCGCCGGTCTCAGAGAAGCCGTCGTTTACCATACTCGCGGGGGTGGAGGCGGCTGAATACGGAGGCCGACGCTATTGCCTGGCGAGAGGACAAGCAACCGCGAGTAGATGGAAAAGGATGGCCGTCGAGATGTCGAGTTAACGCAAACGAGGGAGCCTCCTCTATATGAAACGCGCGCGTATCGCGCCGCTCGACTCGGAAAAACAGGAACGGCGCCTGCTTTTTCGCGACGCTATTTTTCGTGGGGCCGCCTTCTTAGCGATAAACGCCTTTGTGCGCGATACCCGGGGAGAACCGTCGTCAGTTCTCCTTTTTCTCCCAGGAAGGAAACCGCATTAATGCGCGCCACGATGGGTAAACGAGCTTATTCCCGCCGATTCGATCAAGCAGCGCCCGGCCCTTGATGCGCTCAATGACTACAAGAACGCACCAGCGCTTTCATAAGAAGCACCGACCGCTTGTGATTGTGGACAAATTAAAGTCGCGTACAGTCATGCCGGGGGGTACGACTGCCGGAGGCAGTCGTATAAAGATTATACACGACAGAGTTCCTGGCTCTGATAAATTTAATTCCGATCTCCCTTTCTCTCTTCTCTCTTTTTCTCGTTTATCGAAACCTCTCTCCTACTATATGGCGCGCTCACGCACGCATACACACACGTAACGCACTTGAAAGGCAGAATATGTAAATGCCACTATACACGGGACACGCGCATTTTCATTAAAGCCGGCCGATCTACCTAATTAACGAAAATGTCGACGGTGAACGTAGGTCACACTGGGAAGTCGGAATAACAGGAAGGCGTGAACGCGTGTGCGGCCGAAAATCGGCGCGATAACGAAGGAGGCTGGTAAAATCCGCGAAAAATACACGCCAGAGGGTGCGTTAAGGGTGCGTCCGGAATATAGTAGTCGATACTGCAGTTGTGCGCCCACAACCGTGATCGCTGGGAGCAAGTTCCGTGGAACCTTGTCTGCTTTCGAATAAAGGACGCACGAAAGAGAGAGATAGAGAGAGAGGTATAAATAGAAAGAGTAGGAAGAGGGAAGAGGAAGAGATATCTGCGTGAATCCCGGCAATAATCGTCCGGAGGTGGAGGAGGAAGCGCACCCAAAAGGGTTGGTCTGATGAAAATGCCAGGGTGAGAGAGGCGCAAATACGTTTGACGACGATAACGGAACGTTCACGGTTCACGGCCAGGAAAGGGGAGATACGTATATCCTCTCTGTTTCAAGAGAACGCAAGATAGCTCGCGTGGATTATCAAGACCAAAAGAATACGTAATCTCACGTTCCGCTCTCTCGCATCACGCCTGAGAATTCCTCAAAAGAGGACTCTGAGAACGTCGGGAGATAGTCTCGCGTTCGTTTTCATTTTCTTTATACTCGATGATCTGCTCTTTTTAACTGAACCGGCTGCACTGTTCGAGAAGTTTAGATACATTGAGAGAAAAATAGGATTATTTTCGAGCAATATACTTTTTTTCATTTTAACCACAAAAATAGTCAAGAGAACTATTTTTTCCAGTAAGCGTTAGTATAATACCGCCGATAACAACCTTACGCGCATGTTGCTACTATTTTTTTTGTGGTTAAAAAAAATTATATTGTCGAGAATAACTATATTTTTCTCTCAGTGCAAATTTTGAAGCGTGCGAAGCGTATTTACGAGATTCTCACGTTTCAGTAAGATTCTTGAACCAGTGCGCGGTCAGTTCAGCTGAAAAGAACAGGCCAGAGTTTCGGACGAATCGCGCGTTCTTCCGCTCATTTTCTAATCTACCGACTTTTGGGGCTCGTGACAGAGAATGTAGCAGAGAGTTCGCGACGCAACGCGGCCGCGAGCGTTCGACTTCTCGTTGGCCGATCATAGATAACAGACGTATAAGCGGAGCGTAATAATACCGCATGAGCTAATCTGAGCTGATGCGCGGCGGAAGCTAATTTGGAGGTCAATGTCTCTCGAGCCAGTTTCGGATAACAGGTTGCCGGCGCGCAATGGAG